ATGAATCATAATTTTATTTAATAACTGCTTCGATTCCATCTGACCTTGAAATCATATTTCAGAGCGTACTCTTACACTGGGAATTAAGAGCATAATATACATAATAAATATAACACTTTTGAAAATATACAAATAATTTAAGCCATATATTTCAACTGAGGCTAGAACTGGGTTGAATTTGAATCAGAATCTGTCAAATATCATCTTATATTTTAAAAGACTGGCTAAAAGGGCTGTGCATTATTTTATTCTTGAGAAGAACCATACGGAGCCAAAACCAATTGGGAAATAGATTAGCTACAGGTACCTACCTAAAATCTACAAAATATTATAGCTATGTTACGTAGATCAAAATCCAATCCAAAGTCTACATGACCTCATATTCATTTATTACCTAACAATGTATTAATACTTTATCAGTCTTAGTTCCCTCGGTGCACATGCCCTCGGTCAATCCGTTTCTTATTGAGTAGACTTTGTTCAATACAATTACCACATATTAGGTGGCTTCTTTCATTATCGCTTCATTGTAACTAGAATACTATCGGGGATTATGTCTTTCCATACAATGTTACAACTGGCATACGAATAATGTACCTAGAAAAAAATGCCTGAAATTAAACATACAGTTTTCTCGTTCTCGAGAGAATTTCATATGATTTTTTTACCAGGATTTTAGATGTTCATTATTTACTTTTATGACTTGTTTAAAAAATATTTCGAAATTATTATTCTCTTTGCAATACGGTAGTTTCCAACTAGTCAAATTCAATACTTTTATCTAAACGTCAAAAACGATACTTTTCTATGAAATTTGTATGAAAAACTGAGCTATGACGTCATGACATTTTTGCGTCAAATAAATTACTTATTTCACAATAATTAGCTAAAAAAATCTAAAACTTGGTGTATCGATCGATCGATGAATAAAAGTAAAGTTATTTTTCAATATTTTATAATATTGAAACATCGAATTAATTTATTTTTAACCTAGGAAATTACCCAATTACTCAACTTAACCTCCTTATTAGAAAATAGAAACTAAGGAATGTTGCATTGCAGATTACTGCAGAACTGCAAATGTAGTTTTTTAGAGTTAAAGTATCGTCGCGTCGCCATCGTGTCTGCATTCTCTTCAAACTTTCTTGGATCAATATTAGAGATATCCTAAAGTTTAGGTATTTTAATTTTGACCAACACGTAGCCTCATACCTTACCGATTTTGCTTTTTTATTTTGAACATTGAAACCATGTTTTGGTAGCGTGTTACACTGTTTTTATGATTTAAAACAACAATATTTTTAGCAAGGACACGATAATCATAAATAAATACTTTACAACTAGTACTGTCTATAATTGCACGCGGAAGTCGGAAGTTCGGAACGAATGAATGAATGGCGGATGAGATAGCCCATTAACAATAGAGGTGTGATAGGTCACGTAATACTAGGTATTTAATATTTTTTCGTTATTAAAAGTGCAGCACTAGGTTAACATTACTAGATTTATAGATTTGGCGCGAATACTAATTGGGAGCGTGACTTGCGGCGATAAATTATTTAAAACGCCATCGCCATTAACAACTCTGAGTAAGTAACGGGCGACGCGTGCTCGCTGCGTAGTTGCCGTATTACTTCTCATAACTTTGGATTTTGCGTCTTAACTAAATTATATTTGATTTTCAAGTTAATTAAGTATTTGTTTTACGTCTCGCACCCGCTACCTACTCTAATATTATCTATCGAACTGATTGAATATTCATCATTAAAATCTGTTTATCCTTCTACAATTTAATTTTAAACTACAAAAATGGATATACACCAGCTGTAACCTACGGTTTCTGACAAGAACACTTAAAACAAAAAGCAACCTAGATTTTATTACCTTAGACACAAAGGGCCCGACATTTAGTAGTCAACTGGGATCACGCCCTCGCCAAGGCCATTCAAAACAAAACGTTTTCACGTCAACAAATAACTGATTCACGAGATAATGATTCATCCCGGCACCCGTGCAACCGAAGCGTGACCATGCAGAGGGTCCCCAGGTCATGATCCTCGCACTAGTAACGTTATCGTGAACACGGCCGTGTCACGCATCCCAACTATGACAGGCAACAGCTGTTGATCACTTTCTGTATAATCTGTATCAGCACCTAACATGTCTGTTAGTTCTACTACAGGTTAAAAATCGTTTTATTTTTATAAGGCTTACGCAAGATCGGTATTGGTATTTTTAGATTTAGGTATTTCTTCCTCGTAAAAACTATATTCGACAAGGAATTCCGCAAATTTAATTTTCCTCAGTCGTATGAGCTGTAACAGCTGTATCCAAAATGCGTGCTTCCGATCATGACACCTTTATCTTTATTTAGCTTTGTGAAATATTACTGTGATGTTATGTCTTACTTACAATTGCAAAAAATAGTCCAAAGTGCGTTCTTCTAATAATTTACAAAAGTATGTAAATTTTTCGACAGTTTGTCAAATGACTAAGTCTAGATACACACCTAGTCGACCTAATAAAGAAAATTAATGTAATAATTAACGTGTTCAATGTATCCAGTATTCTCTGTCCACGAGAAGGTGGCGTGCGACATATTTTCAGTGCAGTAACCTTGCGATGCGGGGGACTGTATTGACCTACTAACTTTTCCATTTGGAGTCTTGTAGACTTGTTTCTCTAATGGCGCCTTATTGCCGCCATTGTGCACTTAACGCACCCAGTTGATTTTTAATGAGCTCTCTAACCGAGGGAGTTATCTGGACGCAGAGATATGCAGGACTAAACTTTTTTACACTCATCCAACACTCATCTCACTACATAATTTCAAATAAAATCGCTTTCTCTGTCTCTGTATCACTGTGTATGCTAAAATCTTTAAAACTACGAAGCGGAATTGGTGAGATTTTATGAAATATATAGAGTAGTTGGAGAGTAAGGTTTAAATGAAATATTAGGAATAATAAATAGCATCCATTAAAAAGTTGAGAAATTATGTATCAGCATTGCACCTGTGCGGAGCCGGGGCGAGTCGCTAGTTATTATTAAAGAATATAACTGATATATTGGTAAACGGAGGGATCAGTATAACCTTAGTCTACAGGGAATAACGTGCAAGATAATGTATTAGTTCGCCACAATTAGAATTGCTTGAAGCTAACAATGACATCAGTCCACCATTTGCCACATAATGACTCAATAAGAATCCATTAAGGAAGCATTAATCCTGATTCTTCACGTTTAGGTAGGTATGGTATGATTCATGAAGCTGTGTTCTCATTGAGAGACGAATATAGAAAGTAAATCATCGATGTATGCACGATCAAGATGATGAAGAGGCAGGCTGAGGCCAAGTTTTGATGGTAATTCCTTTTTGCAGTTTTCGTTCCATTACTAAAGGATTTACGTCGTAAATAATACTGATATTTACTAGAATCTGGTGAAATTATTAATGCACATCTCAATTAGGTTGAAGATAGAAGCCCGGAAAATGAAACAATAATATAAAAAATGGTAAAAAATATTAGGTATTAGATATGGTATAAAATAGTACTAGATAGTATTATTTAAAAAAGTAGTACCCCACACTAGTATTTTCTTTCTGTATCTATAGTGTGCGTTAACTTCATATACACATTACAACCGAAATCACAATTTGTAAATCTAACCCGCACTACATTGTGCAGCAGCAAGTTGCTCAGCCATTCCACCAACCGTGCAGTTAATTGCATAGGTTCGGCCGATAGCTTAAACTTCGGAAGTAATGTTCAATACGATCATTAATATCCCAAGGTTCTTATAAGACTAGCGAAAAACGAGTTCGTGATTAAACCGTGAAAGAAAACAAAGAATAGTCAATTTATTACGTAACTCATCAAGAAAGCTTGTTTAATTTATAAAAAAAGTCGGTCATAATTTCGCACGAATTTAAAAAATAAAATGTCGTATAGCAAATAAAAAATATTTTTCTGAATATGCATTGTTTTGAGTCTGGAGAGGGCTTCGCTAGACTTCCATTATCCCCGACTTATCCTAGCATCCTGCTTCAATCGTATTTATGTAATCAATCTATCTACCGCGCATTGCAGACTTTCCTTGCGGTAATTCGGTAGGTAATTCCAAATTTTAATATATTAAAATGGAATTACCGACCGAATTACCAATATAATTTTACGTCAAGTCTTTAAGGAATCTTCAGAAAAATATTATGGAGTTAACTATTATCCAAAATACTTATCCTAGACTTTCTTTTGTTTACGTTTACAACAACCTTTTGTGAAGAATTACGTAATGGATACCGATTGAGAAAACTCCAACTGAGAGGCAATCAGGATTACAATAATACTATCGTCATATTTATTATTGGTTCTCAAACTCTGTTCCAATAAGTAAAACTTAAGGCCCCTAATCCGTCGTATTTTACCAAAGGTATCTAAGTAACGTATTTTTTTTTTGTAGGTACTTCTTTTAATTTTGTAACTATACTAGTAATGAATATGCTTTACCTTACTAACATAATTATAATTGTGTGAAAAATTTGTATGTATATTATTTACATGGAGAAAATAATTGTAAAATGTATGCATAATTTAATGTTCATGTAGGTACATGCACAACTAGTACGATGGATTGGTTCTACAATTAAAATGTTTAATTATGTATATCTACCTACTTCAAGGACACAACGGCAAATTCTTAAAATATATTTTCACCTTTTCGTAGGTACTTACCGTTACCGATAATTACACTAAATGCATATTAATAATTTAAAAAATTAGGATGCATCTACAATCTACAAGTGGGAAATAAATAAGTGCCAATTTTCATTAAATCAAGTAGTGACCACAATCTACAGTTGCATTTTCAAAATTTACATCATACATATGATCCCAAAAAGAACAAGAACAGTCCGAATAAAAATAAATATTTTATTCACTGTTCATCAAAATTCAATTTTAAATAATTACAGTCCACAGTTACATTTATTTTGTACATACCTGCGATTCCGCTGAACATTTTGTCTGATTTATTTTATTTCTCACAATTTAAAAACACTGAAGTTACAACTGCGTATCACGATAATTATTTTGAAAAACTTGCACAAGAATTTTTCACGGAACGCGTTTACGAAGTGCGGTGCGATTGCAATGCCTTTCAAGGTTCTACTCAACTAAAATCGACTTGACCGCCCGAACTCAAAGATACATTTTCCATGCGAGTGTTATATGAACCGACAGTATTTTTATCGATGACGTCAATACATTACACGTTTAGTGGTTTGCGATGGTTCATTCAAAAGTAAAGTTTAATCGTTTTTATAGTGTAAATTATAGGTAAATAACTTGAATATAATATATAGAAGACTGTAATAAACTTCTCAGTTAATCATGGACATAAATATAAAATAAAATAATCGCATAAATTCTACCAATACTCAATATTTGGTAGATTTCATTATGAAACTTGCAACACTCTTGTGTAAATAGTATTTCCGGTAGCATAGAATTTATTAACGTTTTAGGGATTTCACGGTTATTTTTTGAAAGAATCAAAATTGAAATATTTAAAATTATTTTATAAAAAAATATGTTCATATTTTTTTATTTTCGTTAAATTTCTTTAATAGTCGCCCATTTGGATCATGCTCAATAAACGGCATTTTGCAATAACGTTTATCTGGAACGTGATGGTTGCCTAGCAACGAAAACCATGACAACAAATAAACAGAAAGTTTGTGTAAAATTTGTCAATAACGTACGTTAGACTTTTGGTTGGAATGTGTGTGCGATGTCGAAAGAAAATAACAATTTGCGGTTAATGGGTTCGCCTGTCAATTTATCTTATAGAAGCAAGAAGAAAGACGACAAAAGAAATATCCGGAATCGACCACGATCCGCCTTACAAAGCACAGTTTGCATTACGCCGGTACTTGATTTTTAATTACTTATGGTTGATAGCCTTTATTCCGTATTACTTATATTAAATATGTATTACTTATTTCATATTATATTCTTCATTTTGTTTATAAAGTATATTATTAGGTACAAAGTGCATTATTAGGTGCCTATATTTAATGGTTAAACAATCGTTGTAGCCATAGTGACATGATTATAATAGATGGTATACACCATTCCCATTAAAAGGGATAACATTGCGTGCGTAAAAGGTATCATGATCAAACGAAAAAAAGGTTTCTAATAAGTTGTTATTTAATGGAATTATTAAAATTTTCATCATGATTAGCATAAATTTCCTACAGATCATAATAAGTAATATTGGTTTATGTATTTTTTGTGTAATAATCATCATTATATTATATTGGGGACAATATAGGTCTTTCCAAGTATAAAACTTAACTTACAATGTCTTGTCACTATTTAATTAGCTCATCCTTATTCACTTGTCATCCTTAAAATGTTTGTACATTACATACAAGTTTTAAAAAACCATCCACACATCATTTTTCTTTCTATCAGTAATAAACTTAAACCATATCACATTTTTCAACAAGGTATAAGAGTCTACGTAGATATAAACACCATAAAATTATTGTACTTCAAATTTTTCTGTTTTAGGATCACCCAGAGAGATACAAGAGACCATTCTCAGCTGATACAAAAGACCGGGCCCCGTCAACCAGAAACTTTTTAAAAGCATTCAGTGCTGAGCTACTGCAATCATATAATAGTAAAAATATTTTTAAAACTAATAAAATATTCAAAAAATTTAACAAAATTAATGCATTAAGTGATTTTCAGATTCACCGACTACTACTATAAAAATAGTTGCACCTACTACTGATCTGCTAAGAGACACTAAATCCATTGAGCCTCATTCTGGCAGGAATAAAGAAATATGTAGTAACGCTTCAGACTACGGTTCTGAAGACACATTCATTAGTTTAGGCACTAAAATCAAAGCTAAAGCTCAACTAGGATCAAAGAAGAACGTGAACTCAAAAAATTTTGTTAAGTATAGGAACATAGCTAAGAAAAACAGGAAGCCTATGGAAAACACGGCTAACGAAGATGTAAACCTTCAGGAATATGGTCTAGAAGTGAAAATTGTGGAAAGAGCTCATTCCCCAACTAGAAATAAAAATATTTATCATGGTAGGCCTTTATCACCCTCTTTCAAGACCCGAGCATATGAATCATATTTCATACCACTTGAAGAAGGGAAAAAAGACTCTGAGTTTGAACATGGACCTTACAGCGAAACCAGCATGCAGTCTGAAGTTGAAAAGGCCATTGATACGTACAATCGCCGTCTAACCATATCCAAACAGCAGCTATCTTTGGTAGAAGAAGAATCTACGCAGGATCTAGAAAGTGTTCCTTCACAGCATATGTCTAGTTTATCTCCAGAAATTTCTCTTGAGGACAAAATTGCCAAATTAGAGTATGGTGACAATTTGACTAACAGAAACTCTTATGCTGTAGATTTTAAAGGCGATGATTACCATAAAATCACTCAGAGCTATATTTGCGAATCGAGAACTTACACCAGCTTCTACGATGATTTTCGTACAAATCCTATTGATGGACATACAACCAAATTATCTAGTACAGTGGTTCATACTGATTCCTCGTCGAAAGACTCTGGGTATCCCGACAGTGGACCGAATGAAGATAGATTTTACATCCAGAACTATTCGCTGCCAAACACGTCGATGCTAAAGAAGTCTAACTCGCATGATAAAGTGGAAGAGCAGCCCAAGAGCTTAGACAGTATCTCGACCAATAGCAATGATAAAGTGTACCACAAAAGTTATCTAGCTGATAAAAAGAGTCAATGGGCTGAGCCAATGAACCACAGTCGCTTGCTGTACAAAGACTTCTTCTTGCAGAAGGAGGGCCACATAGCTATGGCTCCACAAAACTCTCCCAGCAAGACTGAGTTCATACCTGGTAGTAGCGAAGGAACAGACGAGCTCAAATCAGACAATACTGATAATAACTTAGATTACCCACCGTATCTTATTAACAGTACTACGAAAGCATACACCTCAAAAGTTATAGAAGACTATAAAAAAGAGCTAGAAGCTATAAACAACCTGCACGACCTCACCCTCAAAGATATTCAGTCTGATGCCATATCTCCCACTCCCTTTAACATAGACAAAATGTTCGAAGACGCATCCAACTTTGATGATAAGATGGACAACAGTGAAAATTCCCAAGAAAACACTTTGGTAGCACAGGCACCGGTTAAAACGAAAAATTCCGTTGATACTACACGAGACGTCTCCAAAATTTCAACAAAGGAACTGATTCAAAACTATTTGAAAGTCAAAGAAGGCGATTATGGGAATGGATCTAAAAACTTGAAAAAACCTGAAAGGAAAATAAATAACGGCGGGTCAGGTGAAAGTTCAATGGGATTGAAACAAGAATGGAATAATAAAAGTCCTAAGGGTGTTGGTAAAAATCAAATTCCGGTAAGTATAAGGAACCAGACTCAAAAGAACATGTTTACTATACGTACTCCTATGAGCGCTAGGATAGAAAGCGTGCAACATGATAAAGATATTGATTCGTGGATGTCTCTCTCCGCTCCCTCACCCAGAATCATTGAAATTGAAGAAATTCCAATGGAAGATAAGCCAAAGCAACAAGAGCCTATAAAGCTTGAGGAGAAAATAGACACAGAAAGGCCAGCTCCGCCCCAACCTGATGAGAAATCTTCAAAAACGCCCAAAGAACTTAACAACCAGTCTACAGTGTTAGATATTTACTCGATGTTGAAGGAAATTGAGAGTTACGGCGAGAACCCTGTGGTAGATGTTACTAATAACGTTCTATCTGAAACAGATAGCAAGAAAGAAGAAGATTTTTCACCAAAGGATAACTTTATGTAAGTTTGACGTTTGACTAATGAGAACCAAACGGTACGTGGAACAGTCTATTTATATTAAAGGTTATATTTTCAGGGAAATATTTGAGTTCCTGGAAAAGGTAGAACAGAGTGCCAACGATGCTTTATCTGTAGTTACCAATACGACTCCTCAAAGTACCCCGAAGTAAGTATAGAAAAGCGATGATTTTAATCGAGATATGAATAATTAGAAATGTTTCAAATCTGTCTTAATTTTGATCAGACTAGAAACTCTACTCAAGCTGCCCCAGACAGAACTAGCGCAGAGATTGGTGACAGCTTCACTGCAGCTGGAGGAACGATCATGCTGCATTGCCCTATTACAGGAAAGCCTTGCGAACCATAAAGAACAGGTAAATACATTCTACAGACTAATGTTTTCCCCTCATCAGAATTTAATTATATGTTAAAAGTAAATATTAACAGTTTTGATGACTTTCAGATGATAAACAAAGTGAGCAATTTGGAGAAACAGTCTAATCGTAACATCAGTAAAGTGAAGCAAGAATGCGAGAACACTATCAAGAGGCATCAGAACTTTATTGACCAGGTAGGAAGTTTGGATGTTTTGTAGGAGTATGATGATTATCGCTTCATCGTTTTTTCCATTATCAGGCAAATTTCGTTAAGACTCTTTGTTGGCTAAACAATTAGTAACTTAGGGAAAAAGATGCAATTGAACAGAATTGTTCAATCAATAATTATACCGTAAGTAAAAATAAATGATATCAATCAAAATTCTCTTTTGAAGTTGATCAACGACAAGAAGACGCTGAATCATCGCATAGAACAACTAGTCGATGAGCGCCGAGCGCTAGAGGAGCGCTGGAAGCGATCTGCACAAGCACTAGAGGAGCGATACAAGCTGGAACTGCGTAACCAACACGACAAGATGCAGGCTGCGCAACAGGTAAGCGTAACTCTTTAGCGCAATACGATAGCGCAGCATGTTCTATTTACAATTTAGCGCAACATCTTAAAAAAATCTTTCTGTTGTATAAATATTCGCTTTGCTTCTTTGATGTTTAGATACTAGCTTCTGTCAGCGGCCTCGACCACAGTATCAGATTGAAATGGCATAATATGCTTAAATCTATCCCTATCCCAAATTTCATTAAGATCCGATCAGTAGTCTTTGCGTGAAATAGGCATCCACTTTCAATCATTTGCCTCTATAATATTAGTAGGCATATATGAAATTGACAAAAAATTAGAGGTGTCTGTAAATTAGAGCTTCAAGTAGGTACGAAACAGTTTCATCACCTTGGCACTCATATTGACATCAGCTTGCACTCATTCTAATTGTATCATACAGGTGGCAAGGCAGCGCTGGGTGCGGCAAAAAGCAGAAAAAATAAAGGTATAATACGTTAATTTTTCTTGACTTTGTAAAATAATAACACTACTTCACTGCTTCAACAAGATATTTGTCACAAAATCTGCAAATACCCCAGTTCAATACATCAAAAAATATATATCGAATTGTAAATATTTTTATAATGTATGAAGAAAAATGCCAATAAAGCATTTTGTATAGCTAGAGCATTAATGTTTTTTGTCGAATTCAGGAGCTAACAGTAAAAGGGCTGGAAGGAGAGCTGCGGGAGATGGCAGAACGCCAGCAGAAGGAGATCTCAGACCTTAAGATGTCACACGCGGAGCAGAGTGGACGAATGCAAGCCAAGCACGCACAAGACTTGGAGGACCTTAGAAGGTTGCTCGAAGAGGAAAAGGAAGCGGTTCTGGTTAAAGAGAGGCATTTAGCTAGCTCTAGGTGAATAATTACTTTAGAAATTTCAGTATACGTTTGGCCAGAAAAAAAATGTTTGAGCTCTTTTATTTGGCATAAAAAACATAATAGCTAACTACTTGGTCCATCTAACTAAAAGAACAAAAAAACGCAGTAAAGGAGCCTTAAATATTTTTGATTTTCAGACTAGAGAAGCAGATTCTAGAAATCGAATTAACTTACCAGGAGCAGCGTACTCGCTTAGTGTCGGAAATGAGGGCCGAGAACGAGAGAGTGGCCGCTGAACTGGCAGCCAGGGAAAAGGCCCAGAGAGAGGAATTAGGTAACAAATAATTAGACAAATGACAAATCTTAGCAATGTAGTACTTTGAGACATCAGTCAAGCATTTGTCACAATGTACCACAGCGAGTTGTTAGAATAAATATTTCCACAGTCCATTTCTTTCTTACCAAAACTTTGATATATAAATGATAGATGAAATAATATTAACAAATGAAATGAAAACTATACGGACTGTACGCTACTGTAAGATTTTATTTAGGGGTTCCTCAGGGTAGCAAGCTGGGCCCGTTACTCAATCTGTCATTTCTAGTGCTAACTAGTAAATTCAAAATCAATATGTAATAGTTACTAATATTAACGTAGTTGGCTTACGCCAAATCAATTTGATTTGTTTTTGCGTTGACCATTTCAGAGAAATGGCGAGAAGGACAAGAAAATGAGATGAAAGAGAAACGCATGCAAATGGAACTAGATATCATTAAAGAAAGGGAAAAAATGGAGGTAAAGTCTAAAACGAAAGATGTAATTTAAAAATGTTGTGCTTTAATTTTAATCTTAACCTGGAGTAGAGTTTTGGTGGGTTGGTTGGTTTCACGTATTTTACCCCAGGTAAAAAAGACAAAACCTATCTATTTAAAACTGAGGACCTAGTTATCTAGTTATTATTACCTACAGCCTGTACCAATAAACGTTTATTATTATAACCAGGAACAAATGAAACAGAAAGAAGAAGAAATGCATCAACAACTAGAGAAATACAAGAAGCAGTTGGAAGTGGAACAGCAGTTGCATATAAAGAGGAAGACGGCAGAGATCTCCGCACAACACAAACACGAGAGGGACAGGGAGATAGAGAGGGCCATAGAGAGCATGGAGGCTGAGGCACAGGCTGGGAGGAAGGAACTTCAAGAGGCGCTTAGGTAATAGAGGATAGTGGAGCGAAATTGGTATAGCTAATACAAATCATTTATTCAAAGCAAAGCCAAAAAAAGTATTTTTGTAAATAAAAAACGATGCCCCACGCTTGGATTTTCTCCTGTGTCGTGGCTACGTTTGTAAACATACTATTTCACATACACATATCACACCCAGACCCGAAACGACAATTTGTAGATTACACAAAGTGCTGTTCGGTACGGGAATCGAAACCACGACACTGCATGGCAGCCAGTTCCCCAGCGACCGCGACAACCGTGCAGTCAAATATTTAAAGATTGTAGTTCAGTTCTCGTAAAACTATTTGTTACTCGAGTAGTTACACCGGAATATGAAGCAGATGATACAAATATTGCCTGTATGATGCATTCGAGTTGTCCGTTTTAGGAGGAACAAGGAACAGTATGAGGCTGAGCTGAAGGAGCTGGCAGAGACGGAGCAGGCCACGCTGCGGCGCTACCAGGACGCACAGGCCAGGATCCGGCAAACTGAGGACAAATGTCTGTAGCTATATTATCTTCCCTAAATGTGAAAATTAAGTAAGAAGTTAAATATCCGAAACCTTTATCCCTAAAAGGCGAGCAACGCACTCGTTTCTTCTTAGGTGTTGCTTGCTTACCATCAGGTAATTCGTCTGCTCGTTTGCTGACTTAAACCATAAAAAAGACATCTAAGTGTTGGAGAGCCATGCTTGGCACGAATGGGCTGGCTCGACCAGAGTGGTACTCTGTCTCATATAAAACTGGCGTAAAGCAACATTCACGTTGTTTTTTATCATATAAGTGAGGTTACCGGATGCTTTATCCTTCCCCATCCTTATTCCTCAAATGTCCTTTCCTTAAATCCATAATAATTCACAAGAGGCTGCCTGTGCACTTGTAGTAACGAGTGTCCATGAATTGCTGACCATCAGATAACCCGTTATGTTTCGCTGTGTGAGTACGGTTATAGGGCCCAATCCTTCCCCTCCCGCAATCCTTCCCCAATTCAAAAATATTTAAATCCTTAATCCCTAAAAGATCGGCAACGCACTTGTAACTCCTCTGTTGTTGCGGGTGTCCATGGGCGGTGCTGGTTGCTTGCCATCAGATAATCCATATAGCGGGTAGTCGACCTAAGATATAAAACAAATATTTACGTAAATAATAAACCCATATTTGCTTTGTTCTTTCTTTTGACGATCCCTGGGCTATTATTTTTATTCTTTGAATGAAATAATTTAGGTTATTAAGTATTCTTGTTTTATTTATTTAAACATGCACTTACTGGCTCACAGTGAGCACCAAAACGCCAGCAAGCCATTGTTCATTGTTCATTCTAGGTGCTGAATTGGAAGTGACCATCTCACAACTGGAGACTCGGAACAGGGTTTTGACTGAAGTAAGTAGGTACTTAGCAGTTGTAGGGTAAGGCTTTCAGAAATGATTTATCTAGTTATGTTGGTTTCTTATATATTATCTAAGTAATCTTAGCAATCCAAATTTCGTAGCTAACAATTTAGTTACTTAGTAGTAAGGACCCGGGTACGTCCTTAAACTGCGACTACACAACGAGGAGTGGGCATTAGCATTCCATCCAGGTGACATAACTGCAATCCCAAAGCGTGCGGATTATGGAAACTTCCCTAAGGGGGATGCCATAATCCCCACGCATGATGATGATGGTGATCAATTCAGTAAATTTTGCGTGAAAGGGTAACAATAGCCTAAGATTACATAGCTAGACAGTCAATTATTATGAAAAATTAATTTGTTCTTTAAATTGACAATTTGTAGAAGAACACCCAGCTTGAAACCCGAGCGGACGAGGTGCGCGCCCAGTGCGCGGAGTCCTGGCAGGGCAAGGTGGACGCTCTGCAGCGGGAGATTGACGACATGAAGAAGACGCACGAGGAACAGATGCACCAGCTTTATGCCAAGTCAGTATATATATATACATACAATAGATAATACTAGCTTCCGCTCGAGGCTTCGCCCGCGTGGTACGTTGATAAAAATAGCCTTTTTTTTTGTCAGGGGAAAACCATCCAATGACTTCTCCCGCCCCGGGCAGGAGGGAGTGTCAGACTCTTACTGACTAAAAACCCCCCTGTTCCTTCTCCTGCTTTGGGCCGAGGTCGGTGCCGCATTGCGCTTACGCCGCAACCCCGGTTAAAAATAGCCTATGTTCTATTCCGGAATGTATCCTATGCCTGTGCCAAGTTTCATCCAGATCAGTCCAGCCATTTTGGATGGATTGAATAATTCAAGTGTCATTTCCATTCATTCATTGAAGTTTTCAAGCAGAACTAACTAATTTTAAGTGTTCAAAAGATATATCTTTGATCTGTCTGTCTTTGATCTGTATTAGCCGATTACTAAACTTTCTAATTGTCGAGATTTTGGTAAGCCTCCATGTAGAGATGGCCGTTATTTCAGCTCTAAACAATGGCTACTAGAATACGGATTAATTGAAACATTTTTTGTTTACTAATTTAAACTTAAATATAATGTGGGAACGTTTAAGTCCTAGATTGTATGTAAATCCTTTATGAAACAGTATATTATATTGGGTTAATAGTGTCTTTCGACTTCAATCACTTTAGGATTATTCTGCCCTTGGTTATTTTGCTTGTTAATTTGCGGGATATGATCTATAAATATCTTCAATTCTAAATACAGGGTGAAAGTAGCAGTAGCGCGCAAGGACTCAGCAATACAAGCCCTGACTCGCGAAGCTGGGAAATACCAGGAGAAGATCACTCTGTTAGAACAAAAATTGCAACAGCAGAGGAAAGACTTTTTGCAGAAGAAATGATTGGGCGCCATCTTTTTAATTTCTATTTATCTATGAATTTCCTCAGGTGACGTAATAAGGTATAGACAAAATGTGTTTTAATAATGGCTTCTTGTGTTCCTTTCTAATACGTTTTTTAAAGATTCAGATTTTTAAATTAGGAATACGTGTTGGTATTTATTATTAATAGTACGATTGGCGTGCGTTTGCGTTTGTGATTCTTCCACTTAATAAATATTTATGTATATGTCACCGGAAAATAACAAGATCTGTAAGTTTACCAATTTACTAAGAAGTTTATAAACTTTCGTAAGATTCTAAACGGGAGATAAATTGTAATATTTTACGTCCACATTTTCGTAAATTTATCAATTGTCGACGTCATACGGTAAATTTATAAACTAACGAATATCTATTTGTAAGATTTTATATGGTTCGACCAATCACAGAAACTCTTTTAAATACCTATACGATCTTTGCAATACGTAAAATAACACACTGTTCTCTGATTGGTCAATGTTCATAGTGGTGTGCTTGTGTCCATAGAAGTGACACGTGACAGCCAACCAATCAGATCGCGCCAAGCGTTTGGTTACTGCTTACTTATTATTTTACGAGTGAGTTCAGTAAGTTTATCAATATACGAAAATGTGGACGTAAAATATTACAATTTATCACCCTTTTAGAATCTTACGAAAACTTATAAACTTCCTAGTAAATTGATAAACTTACGGATCTTGTTATTTTCCGGTGACATAATATAGTAGTTCTGCGTGTAATGGTTGAAAATTGTTTGTAAACCGCCAGATGGGAGAATATTATCTGCCAATTAATAATAAGGGATATTTAAAGCTTGTAACTGGAAACACGGTGCTTTGCGTGGCGCGTTCGCTGAGCTTGAGGGTATTTTGTAATTTTTCCAGTGTGATGGCAGCTGTCAGGTCCTACTACCTATCAAAACACATACACATTCGTAAACGTTAAAAATAAATAGTGTGTTCATTTTTGAGCTCAATTTTTAGTTCCGTGACCTTTCTTTAACCATTCTCTAAAAATTATAGGTTAGATAGACAGCAGTTTGGATTTGATGCATACGAAGCGCTGCCTACCGGCAAAAAAAGTATTTAAAGCCCTTATACTAATATATGGAGGACGATTCTCTGTAAATAAAGGCTTAGTATATACAGCATTTTCTACACTTTTGCAATTTTTATATTGACACTGTCCCCCTCATATGCAAGAGATAATCTTATTCTCACCTTTAATTTGAAATACAAAAACTGATTCAATGTTTTAAACCTAGTCTGACGAAAATAAAAAAAAAGCCCTTGTTTTCTAATAAAACACAGGTTTAAGTCTCGATAACATTTTTCACTAAAAATAATTCAAAGTGATGGCCAATGGAAAATTGTGAAGAAGTCTTTTGAAAATTATGTAAGTAACTATCTAAGTATTTCCTGGATTATCTTTTGAATCCTTTGTCTGTTACTGCCCTACTCAGAGACGTTTAATGATTAGATACTCCTTAGTACTGAGTTTGTACCGAAATCAATAGCTAGTGTAAGTCTTGCGGGTTAAGCGCAATAAGATACTGCGGTCTCTGTCTGAAAAAGGTATAGGGGGGTTTTAGTCAGTAAGTGTCTTTTTTTTGTGAGGGGAAAATCATCAAATCACTTCTCCCGCCCAGGGCCGGGCGGTAGGGAGTGTCAGACTCTTACTGACTAAAAACCCCCCTGTTTCTTCTCCTGCTCTGCACTTACCCCGCAACCCCGGAGTCAGTAAGTGTCTGACACTCCTTCTCGCCATACCCTAGGCAAGTAGGAGAGAAGTTATTTGATGATTTTACCTTCTAAAAAAGGATAAGTTACTTTGTCATAAATATCTAAATAACTCTGGGTACGGTGGTTAGTATTTAAATTACTTATAATGAATCCGTCCTAAAATATTGTGATTTTTTACATTTACTACTAAGATAGCTTGTTTTATTTTCGGCAATGTGAAATTGGTGTATCCAATCAAAATGTGTGGTGCGTTGATATATTACTTGGCATTTAAAATCATGTATTATATAATAACTTATTATAATATAGTAGAAGAATATTTGTAATGTGTTCGTTTTCAATTGTTTTTTATAAATTAAAATTTCATATTCAGATGACTAAATTTAAATAAGTAATTCGAAAATAAGTATTCTGCATAATAAGTAAGTTCAATAATATTTTATCATCCGTCCGTCATCAGGTGCCTTTGAAAATACTCAAAAAAAACCCTTGTCTTCGCTAGTATTTATACAAAAACAAATAAATTGTGTTGCATGATAGAAAATATTTTTTTCTACTTTTTAAATAATGCGGTTGTTCAACTTTTTTATGAATGTCGTCTCAGTGTGTTTGTTAATGTATTTGTCAATATATTTAGTTACCTAATTTATTGTTCTTGTTGTAGTAACAATCTCACGTGCTTGCCAATAAATTGTATCTAATATTTTAAATTTTTGGTTTTCTTTGTGGACAAAATCACTTTATTAAGCATAAATCTATACAGGAATAAAGGAGTGATCGTAAGTGCAGTAGCTGAGTGACCGACTTGTGTACAACGTACCGTGGATTAGTTTCCTACGCGGAACGACGAGGATCTATGCGAGACAATGTATTTTCTATTGTGTCTTGCATACGACATTCAACAGGTTGATGGTTGTTCCGAGTCTATGTTTGATGTGTTTTAACACGGAGGAACGGAGGAATAACGTGTGATTTCCCGACCGACATTTTTTGAAATCGCTGTGTTTGTTTTACGTTTAAAAGTGGTCGTATTGAAATTAATATTTTGACTTTGAAAAACAGTCGAAAGGACTCCACGAGGGTTTTTTAAGTGTAGGTATTTTAGGAGATTGGTTGTCATTGTCATTAAGGGTCTGGTAATGAAGTACTACGATGATTGAGTTGTTTTTAGTCAGTCACACTTCCTCTCTCTCGATCTAAGGCGGGAGAAAGGATAACAGTATTCTCATAAGATAACAGTATTTTGACTTTTGGGCTTGATTAATTTCTGTTGATTAGATTTCTATGTGGGTTGTATTGTAACTAGTAGAAAGAATCTGTACCTACCTACAATTTTTATATAAAAAAAATATAAAATCTACTTCAAAAAAAAAACAAAAGCAAAATTTTTAAATGGCCAATGAAAATGGGATTTGATTTTTTAATTGACCTAAATCTGATCAAATGACCACTGCTTGTTTTCTTTTAGTCATTTGTTATTTTTCATGCGATACAACAATCACGAAATGAAGGGTTGTGACGAACTCTCCCAGCCAGATTAGGCTAATACTTTATTTTTAGCTGGTTAAAATGAAACAACAGAAATGCTTATTGTAAATTGCAAACAAAATATTAAAAATATATTTAATAATATCACGTAAAATGTAATACCAACAGGTACGTTCTTAAAGCTATAGAGGCACTGAAAGGGACATAGGTACTCCTAGGTCCCTCTTTACACCTAAATCTAAATAATTTTAACAATAAATCCAAAAATACACATTTAAATTCTAAAAAAAAAACTCTCAACACTTTTCAAGATCAATTTTTGAAAGCAGTCTCTTTGATAAAATGCTATTTTTATAATAAATTTACAACTAAACATTGGATGTTGGCTCTGCGATCAACAATTTAACACTCTCTGGTAATAGGGTCTTATCATTATAAATATTGTTATGTACTCTTTCGTAAAGCTGTGATCACCAAGGCCTCCACATTTCTGAACTTGTAGAGGCGCCTTGTTTAGGCGACCTAGAGCTAGTATCTGCCTCCAGTTTGGCTTCTTTAGGCGCACACAGTTGGACTGGTTCTACTTGTGAGGACTGAGCGAGAGACGCCGCAGTGTGGCTTATCACAGTTCGAGCAGGTACTGGCCGAATCTCCACCGGCCTCTCACTGACGCAGGGTATACTCTCCGGTAACGTCAGCTTTTTATGAGGAAACGGTGGCATTCTCTCTGAGACCCTCGTAAATGCTGATTTCTCTGGAGTTCTATAGATATCAGGAACAACTTTATCATCTATTTTTAATATTTTAGGAGCAGGCCCCGTTAAGTCCACTACAGGTCGTTTCAATTTGTGTCTAATGGAGTAGTCTACAGCTCGCTTTGGTGAGGCGTCGATACCAATTTTATAATTCTCTACATCTATCACAATTGACAACGGCTCCATGTATTTCTTGTTACGTAACGCATCATGTCTGCTTTCTGGAGATATTGTTGTGGAGGACACTGTTGGTTTCTGTGTTTCTGGGCTAGAGTCCTGGTCGGAGGCAGATCTACTGGGTGGTGTGGGGAATGGGAATGTTTGGACAGGTCGCGGTGGTGTTTCGAGTTCAGTCGAGGAGTCACAGGCGGAGTCACAGGATAGCGGACTGAGGGGAGGGCTGGTAGGCCTGGTAGACCTGACGAAGTGGAACGCACTGGGTCTTTCGTCGTCAAGTCTTAAAGGGTCTGGGACGAGTGGAGCGTAGTCTCGAGGCTGGAGGGTTTCCATGCCTCCGATGCAGGAGGTTAGATGGTTTCCAAGCCGATGTCTGAGGCCCGTGGGAACGCTGGCTAGCCTTGAGAGGTATCTCCTCACTTCCACAGCACAGTCACTGAAGCCTGCCTTGAACCGGTGCAGCACGGCAGGGTCTGCCGCGATGGCTGCAGCCAGCTGCTGGCGCTGCAGCTTCTGAAGGTGCTTAACAGTCAGCTCCAGGATGTCCGCCTTCTCCAGCTTCGAGTGGCGTGATGGCTGTAAAGAAAAAATATTCATAAGTTTCTTTCTAATTGGAATCTTCCTTTTTTTATTACCATATTTCCAAAACACACATTAAGTGCCTGTGATACTTATGAGCGCAAAAAAAAATTTGACAACATTTGTTTTGAATTTAAATTGGAAAACTAGTTACACTAGACAAAAATGACAATGGTCCATTGTATTTTTTTTAGTACCTAGGTATAGATAATTTATTTTGTAACTACTTACGTCTTTATCAGACCCATCAATGAGCAAATCTTTCAGCTCGTTGAGGCAATTGTTGATGCGCGCGCGCCGCTTCTTCTCCATAATCGGTTTGTTGGTCTGGAAATTATTAAGGCAACTTTTAACCACACGAACTTTCGCTTTTTTTTTGAAGTAGACATTATTGTTCCTCTATTTAAAAAAAGCAATGATAATTTAGTTACTGCACCAATCACTACAACACTTCTTGTATTGCGTGAGTTTGATGAAACACTTTTAAAAGAAAGATCTTTTTCCACTATCCACGAATAAAATCAAAAATATTCACTAGGTAATAAAAACATGATTAACCAATTAGTAATCACCTTTCGTAATTCGGCTTTCGACATTCCTTGGGTAGGTTCAGAGAACCCGGTTTGAGAGTCATCATCTTCACTGCACGGCATTTTTATCACAAAAATTCACGACACTTCACAAGTACTGGAGCACGACACGACCGCACTCCTCGGCGGATCAACACCTTATGACGACACTCACACGCAACCGTAAAAGCAAAATTTTTCAATTACCCGGTATCCTGCTATCCCGTTTAGGAGTTGAAAGCAAAAAATATGCTTATCTCTTTCCCTCCTATGAATAAAAGCGCTGGGAACTGTGTCGGAATGTTTTGTTTTCGTGCCGTCTCTTTCGAATGGGGAACGTTGTGAATGGAAAGTATGGGCGCAGTGGTTAGTGCGTCGATTGTCTTATGTTCGATTCCGGGTGCTTTTGTTTTTGTAGTGAAACTATATTAACGGGGTGTTTAGTTGTTAATTGAGTTAATTTGGAAAATGACTTATTGAATGAGTTTAAAAATTAGTTGAATATTTTTGATTACTGTAATATTTTTAAAGTTAATAAAAATAAATATTCGATTTAGATAAACAGCATATCTGCAATCTGTAGTAATTGCATGTATCGAAAATCACTACATTTAAATGTCAGCTTTCAATATTCAGAATCAACTTAAGTAACTTTAATCTTAAAAATAAAATCAGTAGTTTTCGCAAATTAGACTGCAATATTAATATTAAAAACAATAAGTTTATCGAGTGAAGCTACACCTGCGCTCCCTTATCCTGTATTCTATGGGAATGCGACCGTACGCATACACATCAAGAACCGCAATAATTTCGTCCCCGACCCTCGTAACAGAACCCCATACTTTATGAATGCACACCTTTCCATAAAGTCACATAATTATTTTCACTATAAACTGCTCACTTTACTCGCTACTTCATAGGTGTAACGTAGCGTAAAGGGAAGGTGGAGTATGAAGTTTCAAGTTTTTTTATTGTTGTGTGTTCGCAGGTAATTGTGGTACTTTATGGTTGGGGGTGAGTGTATTTCCCACGGAGTGTGGGAATGTGTGATAGGTGCAAAGGGTTCGTTGTGACGAAATGTTCGATTCATTTGTTTACAATACACTTCAGGTTTTTGCAAGTTACGGCATTTTTTGGCGATCATTTTTTGCGAAAAATTACAATGAGTGTAAGTATCTACCTGCTTTGTTATTGTTTCATGTTTTCCAACAAATCTGTGGAGCTCAAGGTGGATTTTATTCTCAAACGAGCCCAGTATCTGCTTAAGCCGACAATCAGCGGGGTTGCAGAGCAGGCGCAATAGGGAACTGCGGCCTCGGGCCGGAGTAGGAGAAGGAACGGAGGGATTTTTAGTCAGTAAGAGTGGAAGAAGTGATTGATGATTTTCCCCTGACAAAACAAAAGCCGTCACTCGGTAGGAACACAATTTCAATTCACTCAAAAGTACATACTACATAGGTATACCTCTTAGTTGCTTTTAACAATACAGTGGGGCATTTTTAATAGTAGTACCTAGTATAGGCAGTCACTTGAAAAATCCTTGACCCATATCTACCCTTCGTCAAGCCGTCTCCATATAACACACCATGACGGCATAGTCTGCTTATCTGAGTAGGTACTTACTCATAACTCGAGGGCGATACCAACACGTGGACCGTAGGTAGGTCAATGGAGCATACAAGTAGATACGTACTTTTAAGGAGTTTAAACCTTGTAGAATTTTGAGTGAATCGGGAATATTATTAGATATATCGGCAACTTTTTTTCGCTAAAGGAATATATTACGGAATACTGTATCTCATAAAAGAGTTAAGTCATTGCAAAGCGGTGAAATACTTAAGTATAAGGTCTTACATGTATCTATTTCATCTTTGTTTTAGGGGAAAATAAATAAGTTTTCTTATATATTTTTTATAACATCGTCATCGAGTTGTCAAGTGGTTTGATCAAACCACGCAGATTGTTATTACAAGAAGAATTTACGCTTTAAAAGTTTTCATTTTATACAGGATCTTACGTAAGTAAGTATTGCTATTTTTATTGATACTTCATCATCATCGTCATCATCATCATCATCAGCCTGATTTCGTCTACTGCTGGACATTGTACGCTACTAAGCTCGATGTTCAGCTCATCTCATTCAACCATCGTTAGCCACCCTGCGGAGATCTGCATGATTCTACCTAGCTGGATATTGATACCTAGCAGGAAACCATTTCTAGCTCCTGGGTGATACTGATACTCGTATATTTTATTTCCGTAAACAATCATCGGTTCATCCAGGTGTCTATGCGACCTTTACCATCCAGAATGTACTTACCTGATAAATATTTAATTAGGCTACCAGACATTTCTCCCACGGTAGCCATTCATATTTACAAACTTACTTCTACAGTTAGACATGAAACAAGTTGTTCAAAAACGGACCTTAATATTTGTTTATAGGGCTACAAAACCCGCACAGGTAACTTTGTCAGCATTGTTGAACAAAGTTATATGATGCAGTCCGGTAAGTGTGCAGCAGGACCTTAGTAATGTTGTTATAAAGATGAAATTACAGTGTGGTTTTTACAACTAAAGGGTAAATACAAGGTGGTGATGATGGGAGTGGCCAAGTGTGACGTTATTCCACGCAATCGCGTGATGAGCCTAATGAATGGTGGATAATTAGAATGTCATATGTCGCTGACGGCCGAGGCTCGGGGGTGGCGGTGAGAACTCGCACTTTGTCCTGCCGGCCCTATTATAATTAATTTATTAACATGATGAACTGGGAACTACGTATTGGGGTCCAATGGTCCAGATGTTAGGACATTTAGGCGGTAATACCAAAATGAATTTTCTTTTTAAAATAATAATCATCTGCGTAATAATCACGCGTAAAAACAGTCTCGTTTCTGCCATTCTGAAACCTTTTTGTTAGATCTTAGGTAGTTTTAAATATCACGAGTGCTTTTCTGAACAATGAGCTACTCTGTAAAACTTTGCTACACAAATAGTATTCGAAACTCAAAAAAATTGCATCACTCAACAAATTGGTTACAAAGCGCAATTTTTCGCGCCCCTTTTTAATAGAATAGCTATGTTGAGCTCGTAGAAAACAATCCTATTACAACTCTAACAATCCTACAGTTTACTAAATAAACAAAAATGTATCGGTAAAGTTGACTGAACTGCCACTCATCCCTTTATCCCCAAATTTCAAGTAGCACATCCTCCTAAAATTGTATTAAACAAAAACTGTCATATCCTTTCCATATAACAATTTGGTAGCAGTGTGTGGATCCAATAAATTACGAGTCTATTATAAAAGTAAATCGTAACGGGTCGCTTCCTTCCTTCCCGGTCCTTTGAGACGGGGTGCACGACAAATAACACCTTGACTGTAATCATATATATATGAACCTGTCTATTAAGTTTTTTTGTCCAAGTGTGTCGGAAGTTTCTCACGATTTCGTCTGTCTGATTGTAATTTGGATCAAGACTGGAGGACTTATACTTAATCGCTATGGAACCTGGAAGTTAGAAGTCAATTGACAATTATTTTTTGAAGAGGTGGGAGATTAGTTAGTTCTTGCTAATTTTATTGTAATACGTTTATCAATTGTAATAGAAGACCAAAGAAGGGGGAGACCAAAGAAAATATGGATGGATTGTGTGAGAAGTGATATGGAAGACAGAGGAGTTAGCGATAGCGTGACGAGTGACAGGACAGAATGGAAGAAAAAAACATATTGCGCCGACCCCAAATAAAACGGGACAAGGGCAGGAAGATGATGATGATGACGTTAATCAATTGTAGGTAAGGAACATATAAACAATCCTTCCTCCGTCGTTATTTTGTGTGTTATCAAACATAGGGCAAATAACGGAAAGCGACTTTGTTTTGAAATGACTTGTAGATACTGACAACATTTCCAGTGCCGGCATTAGGGGGGGAGGGGGGCGTGATGGGGCGATGGCCTATGCATGGATGGCGACAAATTCTGGGGGGCGCCAAGGCCTGAAGTTGGAGTCTCTGCCACTCCTGGTGCGAACCCTCAGAACTGTGCTCTACGCTCTGTTCATATGGTTATTTTTATTGAGAATTTGTTTAGATGGATTTTTTGAGGGATTGTGGTCGAGGAGTGACTCTAACGATATCAATACTATCAGCATAAAACAAACAATTGATATCGCTTTCCTCAAGTGGACGCCACAATATTTTCGCCCATAGTGTCAGTGGCCTTCACGCCGGCACTGAACATTTCATTATAATAAACTTTTACATACTTAACTTAGGTAGGTACCTATAGTTTAAATTAAACTACCAATATCTATCGTTATTTATTTAACAAAAATAAGTATTATATCTAATAGAAATCAATGAACGACATTCACAATTTACAAAATAAAAAATTGCTGCACAATATCTTAAATATCGCATATTTAGTTCACATAACAAAATTTCAATAAATAATTATCAACAATTAATTTTACTTCATTCCATTTTACAATATAACGGAGTCGGTTCCTTCCTTCCGCCACGTCTCTGAAGAGGGTTCGACCCTCTTACGTATTGTAAAGATTCATCTTTTATTGTTTGGGATCAAGCACCCTATATTTTTTACCTCACTTCGGTACGTTTTCTCACGATTCGATTCTGTGACGGGACGAACTGATGGCTTAAGATCAATTTAATAGTTTTTTTTTTGTGGATTTGTTTTGTACATATTTTTTGACTTGAGTTTCAAAAAAATGTGTATGAGCAATGATTTTGTCGCACTAAGTATATGTATATTTTAGAACTGTGTTTTCGTGTGGTTGTTTTTCAAACTAAGGCTGGCTTTTGAAGAACCAGAATACCCAATGTTAAAAACTGATTAACTACAATCTACAATCAGCAAGCCACCAAAATACTAATAAAAATACATGATTAAGTATTCCTATGAATAAAGAATATTAGATTTATTTTAAGCTTCTTATAATGCCATCTGTTCCTCTCCAGTTTACATCACCAAATTTGCAATAAATCCATGGGACTAATATCCTTTTATCCGATTTGATTTGCCTCTCAAAAAAGGTAAAAGGCTGGTTCCTTCCGC